CCTCCTTTGTGACTCCCTCCTTTGTGACTCCTGAGGGTTGGGCCACAGGTCCTTGTAGGAATGAACTTGTGCACTTTGACCTCAGCCACTGAGGAGGTTATGGCCCTGAGCAAGTGACTTTACTGAGACAGGGCTGGGGATGTAGAGTGTTTGCCTGGCATACAAGCCAAACAGGATGGTTCACACCTGTAATTCCAGCACTCCAAGGTAGAGTTCAAGGTCATCCTTGGCTACACAGAAATTCCAGGCCAGCCTACAACAGACCCGAGTAACGATGGCAGCAAAGCCAAAATGTGGCAAGCTAATCGAGCTACAGCGGGGTGAAGGGTGACAGGTGGCCCCATCTCTGGAAAGCCCACCCAGGGAGCTGCAGCCTGGGGCTCCCTGCGGGGTGCACAGGCACAGCGACCCGGAAAACCTCCATGAGCCTCTTGGGGACCTCTTAATTCCAAGGAAGCTGCCATGCAATAGGCTCCCACTCAGGAGGCAGAGGCAGGAGGATTACCTGGAGTTCTAGGCCAGGCTGGGCTCCAGAGGCTGGCAAGATGATCCAGAGGATAAAGGCCGTCGCCACCGAACCTGATGACCTGAGTTCAGTCCTCAGGACCCACACGGCAGAAAGAGAGCTGATTCCGGACACACACACCACACAGACATGCACATATACAGGACATGCCACACACACAGCGTGTGCATACAGACATGCAGTTACACGCATGCGCACATACATACACATACATACAATATGCATCACACACAAATATACGCACACTAAACTGTTAAAAACAAATAATCAGCCCCCAAAAAACCCAAACAGAAAAAAAGCCGACCCAAGTCTTAAGTAGGGTGCTCGCCTCCTGGCTGTGGTGGTGAACGGGTTGTGTGTGTGTGTGTGTGTGTGTGTGTGTGTGTGTGTGTGTGTGTGTCGCTGCACCCTGGGGGGCATGGCTTTGAGCGGGGGATTGTCCTCTGCACAGGCCTTCTTGCCTCAGGTTCTGGAGATCCCCACCTGTGATCAGCCAGAGGGCAACAGGACACCGGCCTGCTGTGCGGAGAACACTGGCTGTAAGCACAGGGACACGTGAGGCCCTTGTCTCAGGAGTGTGTGTGTGTGTGTGTGTGTGTGTGTGTGTGTGTGTGTGTGTGTCGAGGAGTGCTGACACAGACACATGTCAAACTCAGGCCTCATCCCTCAGTGCCACCCACTTCCTTCCCAGGACAGGCTCTCTTACTGAGCCTGAAGGTGGCTGGTTCAGGCAGCTGTCTGCCGAGCCCCAGAAATTCCCGTCTCTAGGGACAGGGGTTGTAGGTATTCGCTGCCGCCCCTGGCTTTTCCTGTGAGCACCGGGGATCCGAACTCAGGTCTTCCTACTTGCACAGCACGCTCCTCCCCATAGAGCCACCCGTGTCCAGCTCCTTCACAGGACTTCCGCTAGGACTGCTCTCAACTTGTGACTTGATTATCCAACAAGCACGGACGCAGTTGTGGGGACAGTGGGGACACTGGGCAGGTTCTGCATTTTTGCTCTTCTGAGCCTGGCTCTTACATAGCCTGGACTGGCCACAACTCACTAGGTAGACAAGGCCACTCGGTGGCCTTGTGCTTCCGATCTGCTGCCTCCGCCGAGCTTTGGGATTACGGGTGTGTGTTCCCACACCGGGTTTATGCGGCCTCTATGATGGAACCTGGGGCTTCCTGTAAGTGGGGCACTTTTCCAGCTGAGCCACATCCCCACTCTGGGAGCCCCTGTCCTCTGCTGGCCGCTTAAATCACAGTGATTGTTACCTTAAAGTGGAGGACATGGGCACAGACAGGATGGCCACATGCCCAAGGCCACACAGCTGGACAAGGCTGAGGAGCTATGGAGACCTGAACTCTGCCCATCCCCTTCAGGCCTGCTGTGCCCCCTTCTCCCTTCTGTACTACCCTAAGATCTGCTCCGGCCTCGGCCAATCCACGTTCCTTACCCTCATGGAGTGCCGGGGATGGGAGCTCATTACCCCTCCTCTCCTCAGAACGGGGCTAGGCTCAGAGGACACCCCTAGGGTGCGGCTGTGGGTGTCGCTGTCCACTCAGTGATCCCCCCTCCCTGAAGCTGGGGCAGCCCTCTCAACACCGGTCACTCAAGCGGGAAGCTGCAGCCGCACCAGCATGACCTCCCATCAGCCGTGACACCCACCCTCTCACAGGCCTGAGCTGCCGACAAGGGGACCTCAGAGCCTGGAGTCTGGCCTCTCCATGGATCGAATCTCTGTTTCCGAGGGGCTTCCAGGAAAGGGGTGCTTAGAGGGGCCAACGGGGCGGGACTGTCACCCTTTCCCCTTAGGCTGATGCCAGCCCACTCCTGTCTGCAGCCTTATCGCTTAGTGATTGCTGTTGCTAGCCTCAGCTTGCCTCCGTTTCTCCAGCTTTGCCAGGGGCGTCCGTGTTCTTCCCGTCTCCTGCTCCCTGGAGAATGGAGGGTGGGAGGGCACTGAGTCCTCCCAGGGCGCCTGACCTGCCTGTGGATGTCGACTGCCCCAAGGAGCAGCCCAGGACAGCTGGGACGAGGGGGGAGCCCTGCTCTGGCCCCAGGCCATGACCCCTCCCAGGACAGTAAGGGATGGATTATCAGGGTGTAACCAACACCTCCTCTCCCGTAAAAGCCATTATAAAAGGGAGCGTTTGTCTAGGCAAGCCAAGCCGAGCCACTGGTCTCCACAGCCACTCAGCAACTGAACCCAGGTGAACTGGGTCGGGTGGGGCAGCCATCCCAAGGCCCAGCGTTCAGGAGCGAGAGACTGGGAATCTTGTCATACTCGCCACCCTCCTGCCTCAGCGACGCACCAGAGCTGGGACGCTGAGGGGCAGGCGCATGCTCAGGCATGCTGAGGGAAAGCTTGGCTGTTGTGTCTTAGGTGCTGCCCACCTGTTTCTTCTGACAGGGCCTCTCAGTGGCTTGTCAGGTGAGCCCCGGGGACCCTCTCCAATGCAGGAAAGACCACTGCCACACTTGTGTTGTTTTTCAATATTTTTTATGTGTACAGTGTTTTGCCTTCATACATGTCTTCGAATCACGTGTGCCTGGTGCCCTCAAAGGCCAGAGAAGGGTGCAGTATCCTCTGGAGCTGGAGTTATTGGAGTTACAGTTAAGAGCTTTGACGTGAGTCCTGGGAACCAAACCCAAGTCTTTCACAAAAACAGCAAATGCCCTTAGCCACCGAGCCATCTCTCCTGCACGGCACCTTTTAACTCGGGTTCTGGGGTCAAACTCAAGTCCTTGTGCTTGCCTTGCCCCTATTTCTCTGGCTTTTATTTTTGAAATGGGGTCTCTGTACATAGCCCTGGCTGTCCTGGAGCTCACTATGTAGACCAGGTTAGCCCTGAACTCACAGAGATTCGCCTCTGCCTTTGCATTCCCAATGTTGGGATTAAAGGTACTAGCCACCACATTTGGCTTTTCTGGATCTCTTGCTTGAAGACAGTAAGGAGAAAACGATACCCTAACAAAACCCCCAGAGAATAGACTCATGAAGTCAGATAAACGGCACCCAAACCTCCTGACCCCTGGGAGAGAGTCCCGCAGAGAGGACCAAGCGGGACAGGTCCGGCTGTGCACGGCTCGTGGAAGCGTGGTGAGGATGCCGGGAAGCATCCTTCGGATCTTGGAGCACAGCTCTGAAAACATCCTGGCGAGATGGGCGCCGCTGTCATTTCTGTTGTGTATTTGTAAAGCAGCTTTCTGCAGGTCAGAGCTGACACACAGGCCTGGATGGCTCCCCCTAGCGGCCAGCTTCAGAACACTTAGGCGCCAGAACAGACAGGAGGTCATGATGTCTGCCGCGTCCTGGGCTATTGTTGAGCCGAGCAGACAGACAGCCACGGGCTTCCGGGTGCTTGCGCCTGTTGTTTCCCAACCTTTTTCCAGAGCGCCTCACAGATTCACTTCAAAAAGTCCTGAGAAGGCGCAGTGTGGGGTTTGAGAGCCTTGGTCACTGTTGCTAGGGCTGAGGCGAGCATCGCGTTCACCCGGTTCTCAGCTCCGGGCATCACTTAGGTCTGAAAGAAGGACGTTAAATTGCATTCTGGGTGTTGCTTCCCGTCCAAGGGTTCAGGACCATCCTCCTCCAGCTCTGTCCTGGGGCAAGAGAAGGCTCCCATCTAAGCATGGCTCAGAGGGTAAAGGTTCCTGCTGCCATGCCTGACCCCCTGCGTTAGATCTCTGGAACCCGAACGGTGAAAAGAACCGACTCCCTAAGGTTTGCCCTCGGACTCTAACACGTGCGCGCTGGCAAGCGCACGCCAAACCGCGCGCTCACACACGCGTACACACACACACACCCACCTAAGAATTAAAAGCTTCATAACCGTTCTCGGCCAGCCTGAGCTGCACAGTGAGGCCCTGTCTCTATCTGTCTCAGACGGAGAAGTCGAAAGGGGAGGGTGTGGGTCAGAAGGGGACGCTAGGGCGTCCTGCAGACTCGGTGCTGTAACCGACCCACTTCCCAGCGCCCAGCCCGCTTCGCCACCTTGACGTGCCTTCGGTGTTGCGTCCAGAGCGTGGTCAACAATCAGCTGGCCTGCATTCCCTCTGCCAAGGCCCCGAGCGGCTCCAGCAGCTGTGGCCTCAGGACCACAGTGGGTAGCACAGTGGATGGGGGTGGCTCAGAGACATGGTGCCCGGGCCAAAAGTCCTGGGAAACGTGGGGCGCAGACACCCGGGTGTGCGCCACGCTCGCCTGCCATTCCCCACTTTGGGAAGGTAGCGCTGACCCTAATCCGGGTACGCTGGAGATGGACAGGGCCGCCCGGTTCAGCATCCAGACGACCGCACGTGGAAGGATCTAGGAGGAGCCAGGGACTGGGGCAGCAAGGGGCGTGGCCACGAGGGGCGTGGCGCCGACGGGCGTCCAGAGAGGGCGTGGTTTTGAAGAGGTATGAGTAACAGGGGCGTGGCCTCCAGGGGGCGTGGCCATGGCGGGGGCGGGGCGGTGACGCGCTTCGACGCGCGATCCCGGAAGCGGTGTCAGTACTGGGGAGCCGGCGGCGGGCGGCGGGCGGCGGGGACTTGTTGTTCTTCGCCGAGTCGGAACGCGGAGCCCGGAGCGCGCAGGCGGAGGCGGCGACTACGGGGAGCGCGAGAGCAGAAGTGCGCGTGGACAGTGCGTGTCCACCAGGAGCCGCCGCGCCCGGCCCCGCGCGCGACCCGGGTGAGTCGAGGGGCTTCGGGGACTGTGTAAGGGGACCCCGAGTTGGCGCACCTGCGGGAGACGCACAGCGAAGGCCGCGGGCCGGGCCTGGGCCTCGAGCACGTGCCACGCGGGGTCCTGGCTCAGGGCCCAAGCGGGACCAGCCACGTGCGGGAGAGAGGGACTCGGGAGCCGTGCGCACCTGGCCATTTCCGTTGGCGTAGGACCCCCCCCCCCCCCCATCTCCTAGCCGCGACCCCGCAAGGGCCTGTGTAACTGGTGTCACTCTCTAATCAGCTGACCGGCCAGCGGTGCCGGATGTGGAAGCTGTGGGTGGGGAGCGAGGCAGGTGACCGTCTTGGCCAGCCTATCGCTTCCGCCACTTTTTTCAGGTGTGGTCGGGGGACCAAGGTCTCTTCCAACTCCCAAGTGTGAGGTTCCCTTAGGGTGAGCGGATAGGTGTGTTAACAGTGTGCGGGGAGGAATCAGAAGCATAATCTAGCAAATTACAGGTGGAGAAAGCCACCTAGGTGCTTGGATTAGGTCCCTTTTGGAGAGAGACTTCTCTTGTGGCATCCTCATACCCGGAGGTGGCAGCCAATCCAGCGTCGCCGAACTTGCCGCGGTCACAGGCAGGTGGTATTTGGGAGGCCAGGCAGCTTAGTGCTCTTGTTTCTTTTGTGAAATTGTGTCGTGCCTTGCTTTTCACACGGCTCCTAGAGCTAACACAGACACACTGCAATAGTTCACCCTCTAGTTGGCCGATAGGCAGTCGCCTTTCTTTTGCCTGGTGCACCCAGTCCCCAGAAGCCAGTGGATGCCACAGCTGGTGGGTGGTGCAGCCCTTCCCTTAATGTGGATTCACCAAAATCAGCCCTGGGACCTCCGGGGTTGCCCCTGCTGAGGTATCTGGTGGAGTCCGCGTGGGTACTTTGCTGCCTGGAGCTGGTATTTTCAAGTCTGGTGTTTGAGAGGTGTTGATCTAAAGCCGTTATGTTATGGTGGCACATGCCTATAACCCCAGCATTTGGGAGTCTGGTGCAGGAAGAGCTTGAGTTTGAGGTCAGCCCAGATTACATGGATAGTTCAAGACCAGCCTCAGCTGAGTAGTGAGACACTGTCACAAAAACCAAACCAAAACAAAAAGGTACGGATGTAAGCATGTGGATGGAGTCCAAAAAGCTGTAGAGAGGCAGGACATGCCTGTAGCCTGTGTCCCTGTGGACAGCACTGACAAAACCTTCCTTTCTCCTTAGACTAATCAACAGGAGAAATGTCTTGCGTTTGGCCTTGTTAAAGGAAGTCTAATGTTATAACTTAAAACTAAGCTTCTTGTGATTTCAAAATTTATTAGAGGAAAAAGAAAACAATACAAACAAACAAACAAACAAACAAGAAGCCAAGCCAGACTTCAGTGGAGTGTGTTCCCCTCTTGTTCTTGAACAGAGCTGGGCTTGCAAGGCCAGGTTCCAAGTTCAGGGCTCTGTACTTTCAGGTAGTTGCCAAAAATAGGAGTTGGGCAGAGGGTCCTGAGAAGCCATGTTTCTCTGAGAGTCGGCTCTTGCTGTGTCCTAACCCTTTCTCTAGCACCCTCAAGGCTTCTGGTGAGTCTTTTCTGGTCGTTCTGGCTCAGGGACCCTCAGCATTCATTCCCCGGCTCTGCCAGCCCAGGGTTTGTTTACACTCCGGCAACTCTTTCTTCTCTCAGTCTAGACCAAGAAGTTGTGTCTGTTTCTGCCCCGGCTGTTCTGAGTCTAAAGGTTTCTTGGAGTGGACTTTCTGGATCTCAGGTCTAGTCCACACGGGAAATGGAAATCAGGCCAGCTGGGAGAATTCTCTGTGTGGCCGATCTCTGGAGCTATAAACAGTGACTCATTCCCCCGCCCCACCCTCCCTGTCCCCCGCTCCTCCGGGAAGATGCCTGGTCACTCATATTTACTTTTGCTTTTTATAAGTCACACATGCGTTCTGTTTCCTCTTTCCTGCAGTTTCAGGAAACTGAAAGTGTTATCTGAAAAATCCGTACACTTTCACAGAGGTAGACCTGAGTCCCAGGCCATACAGCACGCTACCTGGTGTGAGGGGGATACTACATCGAGTGCTTGTAGTATCCCAGGCCTAATGGCCTGGCCTGAGGTCAGAGGTCAGGGTTAGAGGCTAGGGGCTGTCATGTCTGGTGACACACCTGCCAGCTCTAACTTGGGCCCTCTGGTATAGTAGAGGAGGGCGCGCACCCGCTTCTAGGCTTCCTTTCCTGTCTGAGTCCCTGCTTCTGTCTGTAGAACAGACTCTTTATAGTGCCTTGATACCCTGAGGGAGCCGGTGTCAACAACACAAGTTCTCTCCTTGGCAAAAGCTCATTGAGCATGGAAGCTGCTGAAAGAAAATTCTAGAGCCAGGTCTAAGTCCAGGGAAAATGCTGACTCCCCAAAGAGTGCAGTTAGGAGGGCTTTCTGGAACAAGTGGCAGTTGAGGGTGGTCCGGAGACCCCGTGTCCACCATAGGCAGGAGCACTCATCAGCCAGAGAAGGAAGCCCAGATCGGGAAGCTCAGAGGGGAACCCCAAGACCTCTGCTACTTGTAGCTCTGAATTTGAGACACTGAAGTCAGAGTTGGGATCAAGGCTAGGGCCCAGAGAGAAGCTGGATCATGCTGGAGGCTGGGTAGGTCAAGAGCTGGGTCTGCAATTCTAGCACTTGGGAGGCTGAGGCAGGAGAAGGTCAGTTCCAGGCTAGCCTGGGCTACATGGAGAGATAACTCAGTCAATGATCCGCTTGCCTGAGCCCACATAAAGATGTTAAATGTGGTAGTGTGCTCTCTTATCCCGCTGTTGATGAGGCAGAGACAGGAGGATCACTGAGGCTCTTGGTCAGCTAGCCTAACCTATGTGGTTAGGTCCACTGAGAGACCCTGCTTCAAAAAAGTGAGCTATAGCCAATGAGATGGCTCGGGGTAAAGGTGCTTGCCATCAAGCCTGATGACCTGAGTTCAAAACTTCAAGACCTACATCATGAAAGGGAAGAACTGAGTCCCACACACTGTCCTCTGACCTTCTCATCCACTTTGGCAAGTACACACACACACACACACACACACACACACACACACACACGCACATACATTCTCCTTATAGAAACTAGAGACCAACCTGCCTCTGGTGCCCATATGCTGGTATGAAAGGTCTGTATCACCTCGTCCAGCAAATGAATGTAACTTCTAAAAGTTAAAACAAAACAAAAAAACCACGTGGTCAGTGGTGGTGCACTCCTTTAATCCCAGCCCTGGGAGCCAGAGGCAGGCAGATCTTTGAGTTCAAGACCAGCCTGGGCTACAGAATGGGTTCCAGAATAGACAGGACCACACAGAGAAACCCTGTCTCAAAACAAAAGCAAAACTCCCAAAACACAAGGTAAACAATCTGAGAAAAGGCAGCACACACACAAATCTGGGGATGTTCCAGAGGACATCCCCAGTGAGACATGGAGGTGAGAAGGTAGCGGAAGGCCCAGGACCAGGGATAGGACAGACCCCTCACATGAACAGAGAGGACCATTCAGTCAGTCAGGGAGGGGAGGTCTGGGCAGGAGGGCAGCCGCTGTCAGCCTCGCAGCCGCTTGAGTCACCTCTGCATGTAACTGGGATGACACAGCTTCCTGAGATTGCAAATGCAAGGTGACCAGACGTCCTCTAGGCCAGGCAGACAGCTGTGGCTTATGGGAGGGCGGCTAGCCAGCCAGCCAGAGCTGGGCGGAGGCGCCCAGCCACGTGCTGTGGGAGGACAGCACAGTGAAATCTTAGTGGTCTGCAGCGTCCAGAGCTCACTTGACCAGCTGTGGTGTGGTTCATCAGCATGTACCCACTGTGGACTGCTGATGTGTCTGATCCATGTACCCTCAGGGTCCTGGAAAGGGTACTTGACTCTGTGTCCTGTGAGAGACTCCCAAGCAGACATGGCCACATCCTTAGTGGCCTCAGGCTCTGTGTCTCACAGCTCTCAGGGTGCCACTTGCTGTCTGAAACTCGGACCTGTTCCCTTGGACAGAATGGCTCTCTCATCCTTGTCTCCCACCTTGGACCCTTTTTCCCCATTTTGGGAGACCAGGAACCTGAAGAGCACACATCCTTGTCAGCTGGATTGGGGCTACAGGAGCCAGGGCCAGGGAGCTGCAGCTGCCATCCCCTGGGGACCAGGGGCTGTCCTCCAGAACCCTCAGGATGGCGTCACAGTTGCAGCAGAGAGTGAGATGGGTGACCCAGGTTACACATTTCCTTGGAGAACATGGAGACCCTTTGGGATTGTGGGACCTTCTTTGGTCCATCGTAGGCCTGGTAGCAAGGTCCCCTTGGCTCCCCGGCTGATTCTTTTTGGGACCTGGACATGGTTCTCCTTGTATGCTGGGACTACCAGGATGGCATGCAGGGAGAGAGGCCTGAGGCTGTAAATGTCCCCCAACAGTGCACGCAGGGCAGTGGGGGCCGAGGGACAGCTACTGGGAAGGGAGGTGTTGTGCCTGGTTTTCCTTCTCCCTCTCTCTCTTTCTTCTACCCCAGTCCTTCCTGAAACAGAAGGGCTGGTCACCCTGTACCCGCTGCCTGGCTGTGTTTATCAGGAGCTGGGGCAGATCTTCTCGGCTAGATGCAACCAGCTTGGATTGGTGACTTAGAGCTGCCACCCAGGACCCCTGTCTTGACCCCCACTGTGAAATCTCTTGGTGGCTTTTTCAAGTTGCAAAAGGCAACAGGAAATTACTTGTTGGTGGACCATCAGGAGCTGGTAAAGCAGCTTTTCTGGGGGTTCCTGTGGCTCAGCCTGTTGTCCTGTGCGGTGTGAACTGTGGCTGCATCTCTAACCCAGGCTCAGCAGGGAGGCCTCAGCTCCCCTGAGAGTTCATGGCTTACAGCAGCCATCTAGAGTAGTTGACTTGCTGGGCGGCAGTAGCACACGCCTTCAGTCCCAGCACTTGGGAGGAGAGGCAGGTGGATCTCTGAGTTTGAGGCCAGCCTGGTCTACAGAGCAAGTTCTGAGACAGCCAGGGCGACACAGAGAAACCCTGTTTCTGGGGGGAAGAAAAGAATAGTTGACTTGTTTTTGTTTAGAGTCAGGGTCTCTAGTAGCGCAGTCAGGCCAAGGCTGACCTTGAACTCCTAATCATCCTGCCTCTGACCTCCCTGGTGCTGTGACGACAGATGTGCCTGCTTTAATACTAATGATAATGATGATAATAATAACCACAATAATATGATTCTATTTTCTATTAATATAATATAGCATAATGTTACTATATTCTTATTGAGACTGGATCTCCCCCATGTAGTCAGGGCTGGCTTTGAACTTGCAGCGAGTCTTTTGCCTGAGTCCCAAGCTCTGTGATGACAGACTGAGCTACCACGTGGCTCAATGTTTTGAAATCACATTTGTCTTAACAGATTTCTGTCGCAAATGTAGGGCTCTCTGGTGCTCCAAGTCCTAGGGCCTATCCCCAGCACCACAGTAACCCCCAGACAACACACTCCTCTTTGGATCCCTTTCACATTCCTTGATTTTTTAAATATATTTATTTATTCATTCTGTATACATTCTTCTGCCTGCATCTACACCTGCAACAGATCTCATTACAGGTGGCTGTGAGCCACCATGTGCTTGCTGGGAATTGAACTCAGGACCTTTGGAAGAACAGTCAGTGCTCCTAACCTCTGAGCCATCTCTCCAGCCCCCCCCCCCTTGATTTTTTTAAATGATTCTGGGATGGATACGTATGCTAGGGACACACTCTGCCACTGAGCCGCTGTATCCCAGCCCTCTCCCTGCTTTTTATTTTGAGACATATTTTTTATTATGTCTCACTAAAGTTGTCCAAGCTGACCTTGAACACACTCCTTAGCCCAGGCTGGCCTTGAACTTGTAAGCCCCCAGCCATGGCCTCCCAGGTATGACAGGCCTAGCTTGACCTTTGATGAGTAGATTGCAACTATGCCCATGTGCTTGGTGTGCTTGGGGCAGAGGTGCCAGCCTAGCTACACACTGAGTTACTAAAACTCTGTCCTCTGGATCCCTCCCCCCATGATTGGCACCAGGCAGAAGGGCACACTTCTGACCCAGGGCCATCTTCCACAGTGTTGGCCATGCAGCATGGAGTCTGAGTTATCTTGACAGACAAGGGGTCCAGGAACAGACCCTAGCTGGGGCAGGGTAGGCTGGGGTAAACACATTAGCTCAGTATCAGTGGGCACCCAGGGGCCTCCTGAGTGGGGCCTTGTCAGCCAGTATCACTTGCTGTCTCTGAAGCCTTTTCTCCCATCCTTTTTTTTTTCTGCGGAAGTGACCCTGAACATTGGGAGGGGTTGACATCTGTCTGTGGCTCCTTGCTTTCATGTGTCATCTTTAAGCCAGCTGAGGACTGAGGAGGGGTCCCTGAACTCAGACCCCAGCAGAAACCCATGAAGTGACTGCACAGAGAGGGAGCCGGGAAAGGGCCCTTCCTGCTGGCCAGGTGGCCTCCATCCAGTGGTCAGCTGACTCTCTTAGGGTCACCTGGGGGCGAGCTCCTGCCCCATGCACATCCTGGCTACCCGGGTGTCCCAGTGCCATCACCGTGGGAGTGGAAAGCATTCTGGCCCTGACCTGCCCATCTCGGCACCCGTGGGTCTGAGCTGAGTTCCCCTTCTTCCCTGGCACCTTCCTTTTCCGCTGGCAGTGGCCCCCGGGCCCGTGAGCATGCGGGTGGGAGGGGTGTCCTTGTGTGGGAATGTGAGCCGGCTCTGTAAACAGCCTGTGACTCACCACATAGCTATGCCACTGACGCTGGGGTTGCAAGTTGGAAGAGCTGCCCAACCCCTCCTCCCTCCTCAACATGGAAAACTTTCTCAGGGCTCCGGGGCTCCTAGGCGCCTGGCTCCCCAGAGTTCCTGATGGAGTGGCAGAGGCCCACGGCCTCTCTAATGCCACTGTGACCCAGCTGGGGGGTGAGCTGAGACTGACTTTGCCCAGATCCTCATGTGATCTCTTATCACCATTAGATCACCCTCACCGGCTCCAGTCCAGCTCAGGTCCCCGATGGGTACTGTGTCAGGATGTATGCTGCCGTACCTGAGTCTCCTGGCGCTGCCCCTGCCCTACTGCTTTTGCCCCTGAGAGTGACCAGTGATGCTACCGGGGTGCCGGGTGGCTATTGCCAGAGTCAGTGCCTTGCCCCTCGCTGATGGCTTCCTGGCATTGGTGGGATCACAGGGTACAGAGATGGTTCCTGAAGGTCCCACGACTGTGGGGGAGGGGACAGTGGAGGTCACCCACTGTCTTGTTCATGCCTGTCCTCCGCACACTCCTTTGTGTGACTTCCTTGATGTCCCCTGTTCTGTGCTCATCTTTGATTTGAAATACAAGAGGTGGGTGTGTATCCCACCAAGAGCTGACCCTGTACCTCCTGCTCCTTCCCCAGTTGTCAGGGAATGAATGGGTTTTTGTTTACTGCCTGAGCACCTCGTGTTGTCTTTCCACACAAGCTTGACCCACAAGTCCCGAATGCTTTTGGGCTTCTCTGTTGCCATGGTGACTGTGGGGGGTTGGCTACATCCCAAGGTCGCCATGGCAACTATCAGAGGGGAATCATGCTTGGGATGCTTTGGCTGGCTTTTTCATGAATGATGAGGGTGTGTGACACAATGCAGACTGGAGAATGAGAAGGGAGGGCAAGGGGCTGGCGGGCTGGCCGCAGGGACAGCTCCTGCAGGCGGCCCAGCAGGCCTGCCAGGTGGCTGTAGTTCCCCGCCTGTGCCGAGGGCTGATCCTCTGAACCTGCTAGCCACCAAAGGCTCCACCCATCCATAGGGGCCTTGGGGTCATTGTGAAGGGCTGGGGTGATGTCACAGCTGCAGTGTCCTTCACGGCGGTAGGTGTCCCGTGGGTTGCAGAAGGGCGGGGCTGGGGAGGCGCAGCAGGTGTTCTGTACCCGTCTGTCTTTGCGTTGAATGAGGTTTCGGGAAGGGGCCTTTCTTCTCCCTGGTGAGCCAGGCTGAGACGGAAACACCAGGGGCTCTTGCTAAGGACCCTGTCTCAAGGCCCTCCTTCAGAGCTGAGGGTTGCTGCTCACAGAGCTGGCTCTGCGCCTGGCAGGTTTGGTCTTGAGGGTGCATGTAGCGCTTGGTATCCCCTGGCTGCAAATATCATGTCTGCAGGAAGGGGGGCTCCTAGAGCAGGAAGCAACAATTGCTCATGAGCAGCAGTCACTCCACACGGATGATGGCTTCAGCGCGAGCTGGATAGGGGACTGGATGGCAGCCCCAATGACCTAGGCACCTATCTGCCCTGGGGGCTGACGCTGGAGCATGAGGCTCAGTTGAGCCTCACTCCCTACCCGCCCACCCCCCCCCCCCCCCGCCACTAGGCAGGGCCAGACTGACCAGGGTGCTTGCTCCAGATCACTTAAGGTAGTGGTTCTCAATCTGTGGGTCACGACCCTCTGCTGGGGTTTTCAGATGACAGATTTTTACAGTATGATTCATAACAGTACATGATTCATAACTAGCAAAATTATGGTTATAAAGTAGCAACAAAAATAATTTTGTGGTTGGGGGTCACCACAACACAAGAACTGTATTAAACAGTCACAGCATCAGGAAGTCTGAAGACCACTGGCTGAAGGACAGCCATTTCCAGGTGCTGTGACTCGGAGGCCGTGTCCCTAGCTTGCTAGGCCCTAACCCATGCTGTTTCTGTGTCTTTCCAGCTACAGTTTTCTGGTGGTTCCATCCTGGTGACAGGCCCGGGTTATGACGACTAATCCCAAGCCGAACAAGGCATTGAAGGTAAGGTGGGCTCAGCCAGCATCTACTGGTACTGGCCTGGCCTGGCCTAGGGACAACTCGCCCTGCCCTGGCAAGCCCCCCTTTCACAGCACTGCCCTAGAAAATGAGGTCAGCTTTATCCTCACGAATTGGAGAAGGATCCCAGAAGGAGAGGTGGGACAGTGGCCTAGAAGAGCCTGGCCTTGACGCCCAGGGAGGTAGCTCACAGACGGAGGGTGAGGGCAGGTGCGGAACAGATGCTGACTAGCCAGGGTTGCAGCCACAGGCCCTCCCTCTGCTTTCCCCAGGTGGGCAGAGTGGTATCTTGGGGTGAGTGGGGTCTCTTCCACCTGCCGGGTCTTCTCAGCTCTATCCCCAGAGGAGCTTCAGCCTCCTTGCCTCAGAGGCTCCCGAGTGCTGTGTGCTGGGCCGCTCAAGTGATCCCTGGCCAGCCAAATTCAAGCTTCGCCCCAGCAGGTGGATGTTAGGGAAGGGCGGGCCACTGTGTCTCCTGTCTCTCACCTAGAAGCTCTTGGGCAGAGCATCTGAGAGGCAGGATCCCAGCTCCACGTGTCTCTAGAAAGCTTTAGAAGTTGACCAAAACCTTCCCCGAGGGAATGGCTGTTGGGTCCTCTCTCTTCGAAGAGTGGTCATAGCATGGGCAGTGGGGCTGTTTGTGGGCACCATGCCATGGGCATAATCTTGGCGTCCATGCTGCCATCCCCGGTGCAGACTGGGAGCCCAGGCGGGTGGGAGGCACTGCTGGGCCTTCATTGTATGAGACCCCGGCCTTTGGTGACTGCCTGGCAGTCCCATGGACCCTGTGTCCCCATGCTGACTGCGGCTTGTGTGGCTCCTTAGGTCAAGAAGGAGGCGGGGGAGAACGCTCCTGTGCTTAGCGACGATGAGCTGGTGTCCATGTCCGTGCGGGAGCTGAACCAGCACCTGCGGGGCCTCACCAAGGAGGAGGTGACGCGGCTGAAGCAGCGGCGGCGCACGCTCAAGAACCGGGGCTACGCGGCCAGCTGTCGCATCAAGCGCGTGACGCAGAAGGAGGAGCTGGAGCGGCAGCGTGTGGAGCTGCAGCAGGAGGTGGAGAAGCTGGCCCGAGAGAACAGCAGCATGCGGCTGGAGCTGGACGCCCTGCGCTCCAAGTACGAGGCCCTGCAGACCTTCGCACGCACCGTGGCGCGGGGGCCTGTCACACCCACCAAGGTGGCCACCACCAGTGTGATCACCATCGTCAAATCTGCCGAGCTGTCCTCCACCTCTGTGCCCTTCTCAGCTGCCTCCTAGTGTCTGCCGGGGCCGGGCAGGGCGCGGGCAGTGGCACGGCCCTCACGCCTATCCCGGGCTCCCTGGCACATATTCCTCATGTCCGCCTGCCCGCTGTGGACCCTGTGGGGCTGAGGGCAGGGATGGCAGAGGGACTGGCAGATGCAGGATAAAAGGGAGGCTCTCAAGAGCCAGTGCCGCAAGCAACCCCCACTCACACCTCTCCTTCCCCTGGGGGGGTGTTTCTAGGAGCTGACGGGAACCACATGGGCCAAGCAGGCTGAGCAACTCCAGGCCCCAGTGACAGGGCGGGAGGGCTTGTCTTCCACTTCTCCGGTGCCGGCCCCTGTAAGGTTCTCCAGCTGGGGTGGAAACCACGCTGACCCTTTCCGGGCTCTGGTCTTCTTGTCCTTATCAAAGGATGTTACAGCCTACTTTAGCCCTTAGCTAGAGCCAGGCCCATGTCCTGGGAGACATTTCCCAATCATTAGCCACCTGCGGAGCTAATGCCAGGTGGCCACACAGAAGAGCCTGTCCTGTATGTGTGCTGAGGGTTGCACGGATGTGGAGGCATGTCCCTGGGGCCTGTTAGGTAAGGAGGCTGCCCACTGTGGGGCAGCGGCCACCTGTCCACAGCCAGCAAACAGCCGGGCTCAGGTTCTCCGGGGCACAGAAGATGGGAGCAGGTGAAGCCTGAGAGGTGTTGAGGGATGTGGAGGGGCCAGTTAGAATGTGCCTGTTGCTGGGGACAAACCAACCAAACCAGGAATGGGGTCCTGGCAGCGCAGGCCCAGGAGACGTGGAAGAGGCCAGAGGAGCATAGGAAGTATGGGGGCCTTGTGGACTCACCCCTGTGGGCAGGTCAGCAGGAGCCCAGGGCAGACTGTAGGTGCTCTGCAGCTTTGGTGCCCACTTGCTACCTGCCCGTTCCTCCTTCATGGAGTTCTGGGCCGCTGTCTGTCTGTGCTTTCTTACTGAAGGGATTGTCATCCAGGCCCCAAGAAGTATGGTGGACAGGAAGTGGGGCAGGCTGAGCCACAGCCAGTCACTTAGCAAGCACTGTTGGAAACATAGCCTTGGTAGGTAATCCATATTGGATATCAATAAGGACCATGGGATATTTAAAGAGAGAGAAGATATATATATATATATATATATATATAATTATATACACATTTTATCATACAGATTTTTCATAACAATTTTCTTTCCCAGTTTGATACTGTAGATCTTTATTAATGCAGAATGGGTTGGACAGTGGGGTGGGGAATGGAGGGCCAGGGTGCCGACAGCCTCCGGCAGTCTTTCTATGGTGACGGTGGGGACGCTGGGCCACTGGTGCAGCTTTCCTAGCAGGTGCCACACTGGGGAGTGGTTTCCAGAGTGGGCTGCAGTGCTAGGCAGGTGACCGCCGTGTGGGTTGCTGTCTGCTGGCCTGTGGTCTCCAGGGTAGCCGGGGCTGTCAGGGCCACCTGGAGCACCTGTGCAGGGCACCTGCCTGGAGGGGGCTGGGAAGGGTGTGAGTGCACCCGGTGGTTCTGTGTCACTGAAGTGTCATCGTCACAATTTAATATATGGATGCTTTTATTTAAGATAAAAGTGGGTCTTCTGTCTTGCTCCTCTGACTTCTCAAAGCAAGCTTTACGTTTTCAAAAGGCAACAGGGACCGTGCCGACCATGCAGGGGCCCGGCGTCCTCAGCCGCCTGCTACCTGGCGGTTTCATTTCAATATTTATTTTCTGCGCTTCCTCCCCCATGTTATAAATTATTGAGAAGAGATCAGACTGTTGGCTCCCCGTGCGCCTGCCTCGTGGCCACCACCTAATTTATTGCTGTACATGTCGCCGTGACTGCTTTTGTATCTTTGCAATAAAGAATTTCCTGTTTGATATGGTTCCAGTGTACGGACGGTGGTGTGGCTTGGAGCCCTGTATCCTGCCCTGCAGCCTGGGCTGGCCCTTCCCTGCTGAGGCCTAGCTCTGCTCTGCACACCTGGGCCTCCCCTGAGAGTCAGAACCCCAGGCCGGTCTTTGAGATGTAGGGACTTCTACCTTGCTCCTGGCTCACCCGCAGTGTCCCTGAGCGTCCAGGCTATGCTGACCAGAGACCACTGATGGCCGTCGCAACTTCTGTTTTATAGTTGGGAGCCCCAGGGACCTGAGCCACCCGTTCCTCATAGGGTGGGCCCCATCACCTGCTTGGCCCACAGCCCCCCGAGCAGCATTGGGTGGGGTCTAGGATGAGTGCGAAGGGCACTGCAAGAGGGGCGGGATCTAAGTGGATCTAAGGTTGCACAGAGCAACCCTTCAGCTCAGTGAAGCTGACGACATTCTCAGCAGTCTGACTAGAGCTGAGGGTGGCTCAGTCAGTTTGGTGAAGGGCTTGCCCTGCAAGCCTGAGGACCTGGTTCAATCCCCAGAAACTGCACACAAAAAAGCTAGGCGCGTATTTATAAGCCCAGGGTTAGGGACACAGAGATAAATGGCTCTCCGGGCGCAGGGGTCAGCTGGTCCATCCTACTTGGTGAGTTTCAAGACAAAGTTTCTAGCTAGGCCAGATGTCTACAGCTGACCGGCTTCCCCCGGCCCCAGCCTATGCCTACTTCTCTTGTACCTGCGTGGCAGCCAGACTGTAAGAGGAGGCCCTGTCCACCATGTTTCCCCACACCAGGTCCACTCGGGCCCTCATAGCAGTGTAGACCACTTCTTCAGGTTTCACTTCAGCCACTTCACCCGTGGAGCCCTTCAGGGCGGCTCATTCCTGGAAGTCCCAGTCGTTAGGATGAGGCGGCTGCATGAGTCCAAGTCTGAGTATAGCCTTGGCTACAGGTCAGCCTTGGCTACAAACTGAGTTCCAGGCCAGCCTAAGCTACAAAGCAAGACCACATCTCAAGGAGTGGGGGCTAGTGTGGTAGCTCAGTACAGTACCTCCAAGTAAACACGAGTCCACATCCCCATAAAGAACTGTCGTGTGTGTGACCCCAGCAAATGGATGGGCGAAGCCAGGCAGATCCTTGAGGCTCACTGGCCAGCGAGCCTAGCCAAATGGAAGCTCTACGTCTCAAAACTCAACATGGAAAAAAAACAAAGGAAGCCGCCCAGCACTGACCTCCGACCTCCTTACAAATGCGCACACACAGGCACTCACACCTGCACAGAGTGGCAGGAGGGGGTGCCAGGGCAAACCCAGTCACTGCTGGTGAGCAGCCCCCTCCTCACGCCCATGGTCTGGACTTGCAGTTGGTCCTTTCACTGGTGGCAGTGAGACCCAGAGCCCTGGGTGCCCTGTTACCCTGGCCAGCTTTGCTTTTGGTCATGTTGGACCTGCGCAAGTCTGATGTGGGTTGGGGGGAGCGGGAAGCAAGGCACAGTGACCCCTACTGGCTCGGTAACCTTGGGCAACGTGTTTAATTTCTTTGGTTGACACACCCTCCCCAGTATCAGGGAACGGAGATTCCTGGTGCAAGTGTATGCGTGGGTGTTCAGTGGCGTCCATTTTGCCTAAATCTGTGAGGTGCAGACTCCAGACACTGTCCAGGGCCCAGGAGCCTACTTTGTACCTGGGCTCGTGGGAGAGGACCCTTCCCAGCTTGCCCCAGGGCACATGGCCTCTCCAGGGCAGAGGAAAGCAGCCCCCTGCTGGCCGAACCCTAAACCGCCTCTCATATTTGAAGGCAGGCAGAGTCTCTGGGAGTACAGAGTCCCTCCCGGGCCCGCCGGCTGTGTGGGCTGCAGGGCCACCCTGTGAGCCTACCAATCCCTGATAAGTGGGTGTGGGTGGCTTTTACAGCCGGGTGCAGGGAGGGATAGAGCCTATCTTATCAGCGCGGAAGGGTCAGGGAGGAGCCAATGGCCTTGGCTCCTCCTGTCTCTGGGCCTTGAGAATAAGAAAGCAAGGAAGCACCCACACCCTCCCCACACACCTTGTCTGATACTTTGGGCTATGGGAACTGACAACTGGGCATGTGGTGCTGTTCCTGAGTGGTGCCCAGAGGGCATTTCTCTCTGGTTGCTTGCCTAGCCAGCTGGGCACTGGCTCCCACTCCCTGCTGCCTTTGCCCCCCATGTTTCCAAGTCCAGTCTAGCTGGAAATACTGAGCCTATCTCTGACTCCCTGGGCACTGGACCTGGTATGCAGGAAGAGGAAAGTGAGATAGCAGGCTCCCCAGCCTGAGTCCCCCTAAAGGGCATGCTAGGCTGTGCCACAGGCCTCAGCAACCACTTCAGGGTGGGGCCAACCTCAAGTTCAAAGGGAGGTGACTACCCCAGTTCCTGTCATGGCAGAGCTGGTCATCTGGTGGCAAAGTCCACACTCTTTGCCCTGTACTGCTCTGAGCCACATCGTGATGCCTGTCCTGGCTGTTCCAGACACCCAGCCTCATTCCATGGCCCTGTGAACCTCCTTAGTGACCGATCACTCAGAAGACAAGCCCCACAAGAACAGAAAGCCCAACAAGCTCTAGAAAATGCAAGGTGTTTATCTATAAATAAGCAGCTAGTAGCTGGCAGGCTGGTGCACTGGCAACTCTGTTGTGCTAAATAGGCTAGGCTGCCCTTGAAAAGGCCTCGCCAAGTATCTGTGCTAGATTGTGGGGCAAGGGGCCTTCTTCATGCACCCAAGATGGCCACAGCCGGGCCCAGGCTATGTGGCTCCCCAGCCCTGGGTGACTGGACCCATTCTCCCTGGCCACCTCTCTACAGAGGGATGCTCAGCCTAGAATTTAACCGTCCGTCTCTCCTGCCCATGGAAGTAATGGCCAACTCTCAACTCCACCCGCAGGCTGTAACTAAGACATCCCACTGGGTCCTTGGGTTTGTCCAATTTGCTCAGGTGGCTTCACTCTGGGCACTACATGGAATAAATAGAAGAGGCCCCGTGAGTCCCACAGTGAGGCTCTCTCTCAGAAGGGGCGGGGCCTCCGTCAAGAGCTGCTGGTAGGCGAGGACCCTGTTACCGCCCTAGAAACCAAAGCATGCTGGGTGCCCAGCCAGGCTCCGCATACCATACCCCACCCCTACAGGTCCTCGGAGGGAATCAGCATACGTTTCTCTATGTTGCGGCTCCTCTTACCCACTCCGGAGCCACTGGCTGGGCCAGGGTGGGTGCTGGGTGATGGGTGCCCACCCTGGCCAGGCCCAGGAGTTTCGTGTGTAGACTGCTGTGTGTACTGCTGGTAGGCTGGCGAGAAGTTGTGGATGGCGTCCTGGACAATGTCCTGTGGGCTGATGGTCTCCTTTAAGCCACTGGAAATGCTTTGCATAGGTGCTGGTGGGGCTGGAGGGCACAGCGTGTGGGCCTGAGTCACACAGGTCTCCTGGGCCACAGCGCACTGCTTCATTGCCCAGCCCCTCACCCCTGCTGCTCGAAGGTCCCCTCGGGCTGTCTTGGGATGCGGATCCTGCATGTCCAGGCTTTGCCAATGGCTAGCAGATGGCCTCAGACACTGGGGACCCAGCTCCACTCCCAAGTCTCAAGTGCTGGTCTCAGGCCTATCCTTGAAGAGACTCCTGCCCAGTGACGGCCCTTCCCCTTGAGCAGGTGGGAACTAGCCATGTGGCCAATGTGGCACACACGCTAGGGTAGTGGACCCAGCCTCTCCTGACTCCTTCCCCAAGCACCAAGGAGACCTAAGAGAGTGGCTGGTTCCACCCATGTCTGTCAGAGCTCAACATCTCCCTTGTCTGCCTGGCTAGGATACCCGTGGGCATGTCCCCCTGGTCAGTATTAGACATCACGGCTGGGCTGTTGCCCAGTATCCTCTGCTGCGGGGCCCAGCTCACCTGGAGAGTTCTTCTTCTCCGAGTACACCTGGCTGGGGAAGGCATAGCGCAGGGCAAGTGAGGCAAACAGCATCTCAATACAGATGAGGAAATTCTGGTAGCCAGCGGCCAGGGTGCCGGCACCCACCCTGGTGCCGTCCACGGCCTGGACCTCGGGGATGACCCCACACCTCTCCAAGATAGCCAGCAGCATTCCTAGGGGCAGTGACAACCACTCAGGCCCCATCTTTAGATGAGCAATGAGCCCTGCCAGTTCCTACTGATGCCCAGGGTGTGCAGGGAAAAAGGCCAGCTTGACCCCAGAGCTTCTTTGATCCTGACTACATAGGTGGTGGGGTTATGACTGACAACGGTTGGGTACCTTAAAGTCACTCTCCCTGACATATCCAACTTGGGCCTGGGGACCCCTGCTCTTAGGCTGCTGGCCATCTTCCACAATGGGGACTGAGTTCTCATGGCCTGGTAGGGGTGGGGCAGGACCCAGGGCTCAGGAGGCGGAGGCGTGGCCTCCATCGGCTGAGACCTCACTGTGTCCCCCACTCCAGGCTCTGTCAGCTCCAAGGTAGGTGGAATCACTGACTTTTGGTAAGGCTGGGGAAGCTGAGGCAGGCAGGGCTGAGATGGAGGTAAGATTTGAACACAAGTTCCAGGGATGCCGGGCCTGGTCCCACACCCTCGCCCAGCCAGCTCACACACCCTGCCAGAAGGAGAGGAAGATGATGGCTTTGATGGTGAGGAACTTGAGCACTGGCTCGAAGGGTCTCAGGAGGTCCCTGGTGGCAAAGTAGAAAAGGAACAGAGCGTAGAGGGCCAGGCTCACGGAGGCGTTGTACACGAGGGTCACGTACAGGTAGCCGCTGTGGATGCTGGGCCATAAGGAGTGTTGGTTAGCGTGGTCCCCGCCTCCCCTAGCGCTCCTTTAGCCTGTTCCTTTCTGGCTGGGCACCACAACCCCATGACAGCTCCTCCCTCCAGTCCTCCAGGTCCTCCCTCCAGGGCCTCAGCCAGTATTACAGGGAGAGTGGTGGGGTCTGTGGTTTTCCTCAGGAGTAGGCATGCTTCAGGTCACTTCCTGGTCCTGGGCAGGCTCACAAACCTAACAATGTCTTTTTTTTTTTTTTTTTTTTTTTTTTTTTTTTTTTTGAGGCAGGTCTTCCTCATGTAGCCCAGGTTGGCCTCAAACTCGTTATATAGACAAGGATAACCCCCAGCTTTTACTACTCCTACATCTACTCCCTGAGTATTGGGATGACAGGTGTGTACCACCACACGTGGTTTGTATGAAGTTGGGGACGGAACCCAGAGACTCACGTATGCTAGATAAATAAATACTGAGCTACAGCCCCTCACCCCGGGGGGCGGAGGAAGGCAGGCTGCCGGTGGAAGGACCTGTGGGAGCCCGGCCTCCCCCGGCCCAGGGAGGCACCCGCTCACAGCCCCCTTACTTGAAATCTCCATCATGATATTTGTCAAAAGCCTGGAGGATGATGGTGATCAAAGCCATGACAGGTTTCACGATGCAGAACTGCAGTGTGGCCTGGGAGGGGCAGGGGAAGGGCGTGAGGCCGGGGCGGGGCGGGGCGAGGCGCCGGGGTGGGGCGGGGCGAGGCGCCGGGGTGGGGTGGGCAGGCCGCCTCACCTGTTTGCAGAAACGTAAGAAGGTGATGGAGTAGGACATGCGCCGGAGGCAGCAGGTCCCGTAGAAGCAGCTGGACCTGGGAGTGAGGAGGAGGTGGCTCAGGCTGCTGGTGAGACCATGGTGGGTCCTCCAGCGCGGCCCGGGGGATGGCCCGGGGGGGGTGGGTTTACCTGATAGGTTTGCCTCGGATCTCAGCCATGATGGCGCTCTCGCCCCCCAGATACTGGAAGCACAAAGTCAGGAAACTGTAGATGACAAATGCTGCAGGAGGACAGAGGCGTGACAGCGAGGGTCAGTCATGGGAGCCTGTGCATGCCAGCTCCATCAGACACACGCAGCACACCCGGGGAGAGGGGTGAGGGCCCTTAGACCGTGAACCCGGGCGCTGAGGCTGCAGGCCGCACAAGCCCTGAGGCAGCTCGCAGGTCTCAGCTGAGAGAGGGGAACGGGGCACCTTGCGGATGGCAGGGGAAGTGTGTGTGTGTGTGTGTGTGTGTGTGTGTGTGTGTGTGTGTTTGTGTGTGTGTGTGTGTCAGGGTGCCGGCCGCTCAGCTCCCCCGGGGCCCCGCCTGGAGGGTCACCTTCGTAGCAGTCTCGCACAGAGTCGAAGTATACGTAGTAAGGGTGGCCCCCGAGGAGGAGGAGGCTGAGCCAGGAGTCGAAGGCGTAGACGGGCACAATGAACAGCAGGCGGATGACGAAGCGCTGCTCTTGTGGGACGGTGTAGGAGCGGAGGTGTGAGTAGATCTGTGGCAGAAGAGTTCCGGTGGCACCGAGTCCCCGCTCCCGGTCCACCGCAGGGGGCCGAGCGGCCCAGTGCCGGGCTGCCCCCCCACTCCGGACACGGAGTGGGAGCAGTCGGAGGGAATGCGATGCCAGACAACTCCACTCAAGGCCTCCCCCAGAGAGTAGGACTGGGGAGGTGGCTCAGTTAGTAAGAGGCTTGCCAAAGCAAGCCTGTGGGCCGGAGTTCAAGTCCCTAGCCCTCAAGGACAAAACTGATACACGCCTGTAATCCCATTGCCGGGGGAGCGGAGGGGGCAGAGGCAGAGACTCTGGGAAGTCGAGTGAGCAAAGCGGACTGTCCCTAAAAGCAAGAGGCAAGGTGGACGGTGCCTGGAGACCAGCATTGGAGGCTCACCTCTTTCCTATACCTACACACACACACCAGGACCGGGGATGTCTCAGTGCTAGAGCACCTGTTATTGGGGCAGGGGCATGGCCAAGGCAGAGGCCGTACCCTAACAAGAGCAAGGCTCTGTATTCAATCCCCAGAACATGCTCCCTCCAAATGAAATATTATGTTTATTATATACAAATATGTTATGCATTTGTATAGATATGTTATATATTATATCTTTGTATATTATATATATATGTTACATACTAATGTATATATATTTGAGACAGGTGTGGGCTGTCTCAGTATGTAACCCTGGCTGACTTGGAACTACGTAGACCAGGCAATCCTTGAACTGAACTAATTGAGCTCTGCTGGCCTCTGCTTCTCCAGTACTGGGATTAAAGGTGTGAGCCACCGTAGTCAGCCCTTCTTATTTAATTTAACCCAAAGTTTTGTGCAGGCTAAGCAAGTGGTTTCCCATTGAGGCACATCCTCAGCCCCTTAAAACTGTATCAGTGGAAAAAAGCCCCAGGCTCAATACCCAGTACCACCAAGAAAAAAAGTACCCTCGATTAACAAATACAAATGTTATGCATCCACAGCATCTGTGTGAGTATATGCCTTGGATGTGTGGGTGCCCATGGAGGCCAGCAGAGGGCGTCAGTTGCCCTGCAGCTAGAGTTACTGGCAGCTGGGAGGTACCCACATGCAGGTAAAGCAGCCAGTGCTCTTGACTGCTAAGCCATCTCTCTAGCCCCTCCTCACAGGATTTGGAGGCATACCACTGAGCCGCCCAGTCCTCTCTTTACTCTGAAGAGGAGGGGCAGAGGTCTCCCTGAACCTGGAGCCACTGATCTGGCTAAACTCACAGCTGGCAGAAACGATTCAGGGATCTGATTGGCCACCCCTCCTTGGGGTGTGTCCCACCGTGTCTGGAATTAATTTTTTCGGGTGCTACACTGCGCTCAGGTCAGGTCCCATGCTTGCGTGGCACGAATTCTACCAGCTAAACCATCCCATTTTAATTGGTACACAAAGGCTGAGAACACCCAACCTCACGTCCTTACTTGCTTCAGCAACATGGTATAAAATTCTTAAAAAGGGGGGAAAAAGATCGCCATTGTTGCTTTTGAGACCCTGTCTCACGATGTAGCCTGGGGGCTCTGAACCCGTGCGTCACAACCCCTTTGGAGGTCTCATCAGAAATCCTGCACATCAGATATTTTACATTATAATTCATAACAGTAGCAAAATTACAGTTAGGAAGTAGCAATGAAACAATTTTGTGGTTGGGGGTCACCATAGCATGAGGAGCTGTATTAAAGGGTCTCAGCGTCAGCGAGGTTGAGAACCACAGATGTAGCCCAAGCTGGCCTTGAATGCATGATTCTTCTGCCTCAGCCTCCCCCAGCACTGAGTGACAAGCCTGCCCCAAGCCTAAAATTCATCCCTTCAGCATTCTCAAGCCTGTCACACATTTTGATGACCTGTGGGGTCATCTTGCAGAACATTCTGGAAGTTGGAATATTCACTCACTGGTAAGTGTCAGAGCAGGCCCTCAACCTGGGGACCGTGGAAGGCCGTATGCTCTTTGACACCTCCAGGAGTCTGACCCTAGGAACACATCTATCCAGAAATAAAAAGGAAAGAAATTAAGTGCAAAGAGGTTCATCACAGTGAAGCACAGGAACAAACGCTGGAGCTGTGCTCATCACGGGAGGCCAGAGCCTGTGTGGGGAGGAACACCATACAGTCCGCAAAAACGATGCTCAGCTACACAGCTCGATGGGAAGTCCTCTGACGGGATCAGGTGCCTGAGATCAGAGTCGGAAGGCAAGCCGCTGTCAAGAGTCACACGAGGCTTACACAAACAGAAGGAGAGGGTTGGGGCTGTGGTATAGTGCCTGCCCAGCACGCAGGCGGCCCCACGTAAACACACCTGCCACCTCAGCGCTTGGGAAACGGAAGCAGGAAAGCTATCCTCTGCTACATAGGGAGTTTGAGGCTATCCTGGGCTGCAAGGTGTCGTCACAAAGGCCCAAACCAAAGCAGCACAAGAAAGAACAATCCGGAAAATGATTGTTGTGTTCACTTTCCAGCTGTCTGAAGTTTCTGCATTTTTCTACAAGAAGCAGAAGGGGCCGTGCTCCACCCCCACCTCAGTTCTAGGGACAGAACCAGGGCCTCCTGGCTGCTCAGCCAACACTCTACTGCTGAGCCCTTCTGTTACCTTTGTTTTATTTTGAGGGCGGGGCATAGGGGTGTCTCACTAGCTTCTTCAGGCCGGTTTTGAACATGCTATGGACCTCAGGGAGGCCTTTTTGGATCAGCCTGCGCCCCTAGGTCCCTCTGCACAGTCGTGAAGAGGAAGCAGTCTGGGAGCTGGGTGCTTCCTCCCCATTCCAGGCCGCTGTGGGGAAGCGGACCTGTAGGCCACGCTGTTACAGTTGTGTGTGTGCAGGGGCCGGGAGGGCTGGCGAGGGCTGGCGTCAGAGACAGGCTCCTTATCAGTCCCTTCCCCCTCTCCCCAGACACAAAGTAACCAGCCAGCAGGAGGCCTTTCCCAGCCAGGTACCGTCTGGCCGGTGACCTTGGCAAGCTGCTGCCCACTCTTGCCTCAGTTTCTCCACCTGACCCCTCTTTGTTTAGTCCCTATCCCTCCTGGAGGTCTTCCTGCTGACGCCTAACAGCAAGGGCTAGCCCCATGCCACCTCTGTGGCTGAAACCTGCCTGGCCTGCCCTCAGGCCCAGGTCTGTCTCCCTTGTATCCTGGTTACTGAGGCACACCTGGACAGGTGCCAGCCAGCACGTGTCTGTCACAGGCAGAGGTGTTTGCTCTTACTTCCTGGCCCCCCTCACCTACCGGCTCAGGCACTCTAATGGTGCCAAGTAGGTGTTCCAGAAGGCCTGGGGCTCTCAGCTCCCTGAACCATGCTCCAGTTCTTCAGCTCTCTGGCCTCGCCTCTTAAATACCCCCTCCAGCCTTCCAGCTGCCCACCTTCCACCCCCCAGTTCTCCACTCTCTGCCCGCCAACCCCCACCCCCAACTCCTTATTCTCCCAGCTCCCCATCTCTGGCTCGCTACTCCCAGCACCCCCCAGTTCTGCACTGTCCCAGTTCCCATTCCTCTCGGTCCCCACTCCCATAGCTCCTTCACCCACCTTCCTGCCCCTCCTCCCCAAATTCCTGATGTGTGTCTTGAGGTTCTCCATAGAACAGTCCAAGTCCTGGCCATTCCTGGCGGGAAGGGCCCTTTCCCCTCCAGCTGTGTGAGCCTGGGGAAGGCCCAGCCACCTTCGAGCCTCAGTGCCCTTGCCTGCGCACTGGGAACGATCGCTGACCTTGGGGAGCAGAGCGAGGGGCCTCACACATGACTGGGGTGCCCACCCAGCAATGTGTCACCTTCCTGGCAGAGACCTCCCCCGTTAGGCTCGGCCCCTGCACACTAACCCTGAAGAAGGGCGATAGACGGACACCACGCCTGGAGTCCTCTTGAGGCTCAGTGTCTGGTACGGGGGGGGGGCTGCCCCTGGAGGTCCCAGGATCCCATGCCAGCTCCCCCAGAGGCTGCGTGGTTCAGTGAGGAGTGGGGAGAGGGAGGGGGTGTTCACCTGGTGGCAGGTTAATAGCAGAGCAGTCCACACAAACACGCCTGACACGCCTCTGGCCAGTGCGCTGGTGAGGAAGAGCTGGGGTCCCCCCTGCGAGCCGTTGTCCACGCGTTCCATCTGCGGCCCGGCCGCCACCGTGGGCATGGCTGGAGGGGGGCTGCGTGGAAGCCAGGTCGCCGACACCAGGGGCGCTCCGGCTGTTTTCAGAAACTCTGAAGCACTCCTCATCTGCAGAAGACAGCGGAGGAGTGAGGCCCCAGTGGAGGCTGGAGTGGGAGTGTGAGGGGTGGGGGTGGGGCAGGAGGTGGGCAAGGCCATGTGGGTGTCAGCTAGCGGCCAGGTCAGCCCACTTGCAGTATCTGCCTGCCTGCCTGACCACCATCGCTACCACCTTGCCCATGCTCGGCAGGTTCCCTGGAGGCCCACCACGGACCCCTGCCCCCTTTGTGGGAGTCTGGGTCTGACTTCACCTCCCCCCTCCCCTGCCTCTGGGCAGCTGTGGGCTCACTCTTTGAAGAACAGGGGCCTGGCTGCTTTCCTGCCTGAGGCTCACATCCTGGGTTGATGTCCTGGGAGCCCCTTCAGGGTCTTTGTCTCCTGGGTGCTCACACGGTTAACTTCATAGGAGTTAAAGACTATTTTTAACCAGGTGGCCATGGCACACCCTCCCGTCACTTGCACTAGAGAGGCTGAGGCAGGTGGACTGTGAATCTGTGAGTATAAGGACCAGCCTAGGCTACCTAGTCACTCTGTTTCAAAAAAGAAAAAAAAAAAAAATCTCCAAAGAAACTCAAACCCCAAACAAACAAAACCCAAAGTCTGTTTCCATCGCATGCTGAAATCCACCTGCCTGGGGCATGGGAGGGAAGCCAGTAAACACACCTCCCCCGCCCTGGGTACCCTTCTGCCCCAGGTGCCAGCCCGCCCCCACCCAGCCCCTGCCTGTCCCTGACGCTGAGTGTTCCTTAGTGTCCCCCAAGCTCCGGCAGCAGGCTGGAAGATCATGTGCCTGCTGGGAGCCAGCGAGAGCTGACCTCCTCCTACCGTCAATCTCCTGTCCCGGGGGCGGGAGCCTACCTCTGTGACAAGGAAGCTCTTTGGCCCAGGCCTGGCAGGCCTAGCCTCCTCTAGGGAAGCCTGGCTGGTCATTCACAGAAGCCACATGGCCCCCACTGGAGGCCGAGCCTCGGGTGGGGGCAAGGCTGATCTCCGGAAAGGCACACGGGGCCAGGGGCCTCACCTGGCCGGTGGCCCTCTGGGGCTTCAGGCTGAGGGAGGACCCGGGGAGGAGAAGCTGAGGCTCGGCCCCGCCCCTGTCGACACTCTATCCCTCTGGGGCAGTTTGCTCAGCAGCAGCTGGCTTCCAGGAACCGCCCGGCTGGCAGGTGCCTTTCACCTGCTGGCACCAGGTTGTCAGGCGGGACAAGAGAGAGGAGTCTGTGCCAGCTCACCAGGGAAGGCCATGGGTGCTCACCAGACGCAGGCTTCTCTCTGGATGGCGAGAGAGGCCTAGAAAGGTGCCTTTTAACCTTCCTCATGCTGTGGTGACCCCTCCCAACCATACAATTATTTTCATTGCTACTTCATAACTGTAATTTTGCTGCTGTTATGAATCGTGACGTAAATACCCATGTTTTCCAATGGTCTTAGGTGACCGCTGTGAAAAGGCTGTTCGACCCCCACGTGGGACATAGGTTGAGAGTCATGGTCCTAGAATTGGACAAACTGCTGGTTATATATTGTGGATGTCCCTACTGCTCCAGAATTATGAAATTGGGCAGGACTGAGACTGTGGCTCAGTGGGTAGAGTGCTTGCCTGGCATGCATGAAGCTCCGGGTTCCACTCCCTGCACTGCATAAACCAGGCATGGTGGCAAATGCCTGTTATCCCGGCACTTGGGAGGTGGAGGCAGGAGAATTTCAAGTTCAAGGTCATCCTTGCTTTAGGCCAAATTGGACTATATGAGAGCCTGTCTCACTAAATGAATGAATAAACAAATGAGTAAGAAAACGGGGAGGGGGGAGCATAAATTTAACCAAACATCATGGCACAGGCCTGTTATCCAGCCACTTGGGAATCTGAGATAAGATTGATAATTCAAGACAGCCTAGAGCAAGTTCAAGACCAGTGTGGACAACTTAGTGAGACCCTATCTAAAAATAAAATGTAAATTGTGTGCTGGGAATGTAGCTTGGCGTTAGAGCTCCTGCCTAGAATTCCCCAGTGAGGGGCTGGAGTGTGATTCAGTGGTATAGCACCTGCCTAGAATCCCACAGTGAGGGGCTGGGATGTGGCTCAGTGGTAGAGCACCTGCCTAGAATCCTCCAGTGAGGGGCTGGGGTGTGGCTCAGTGGTAGAGCACCTGCCTAGAATCCCACAGTGAGAGGATGGGGGTGTGGCTTAGTGATAGAATGCTTGCTTAGCCTCCAAGCACTGGGTTTCATCTCTAGCACTTCAGAAGGGTCTAGTGCATGACAGTCCTAAGGCAAGAGGCTCACCTGCCCTGGCTCCTGGAGTAGGTGGGGCTCTGGCCATACCTCAGGCCTGCCCTGGGTTCATATGGACCATATCACTGTGGGCACTGTTATGCTGTACCCATTCCCTTCTGGTCCTTTGTGCCATCTGACCCTACTGATGACTTAGTAGACAAGGCTTCAGGCTTCTTTCCTTTTGGAGTTGGGACACAGACACTGGGGGTTTATCTCCTGTCTGGGATACTCCAGCAGTGAACAACAGTTGGAGGCTGAGATCTGTCCGTCCTGTGCTTCCCTGCTGCTCTGCCCATATTTTCCCTAAGGCTTCACACACCATGGACGTCATTCCCTCACTACCTAGGCAACCTCTGTCCCTGACACGCAGGCCCTGGCCCATGGCTGCTGCGCCTAGGCCAGCTCTCCTCGCAGACACCGCTGCCCCTGGAGGGGCCTCTGTCACTGCTAGCAACAACATTCCCTCATTCCGTTTCCATAAACTTTCATCTGAGATCTATTTGTATGCTTATCTGTCCTTGGTAGGAGTTTCCAGAACCTGCCCCTGTGCCTGAGTCCCTAATAACCCTGGCTGGTTTGTGGACAGCCTTGTGCTGTGGGCCAAGGGGAGGGGATGACTGAGCAGACAGCAGGAAACACTATGTCTGATTATCAGGAGGACTTCCCTGCCCGCCATCAAAGGGCTAGGCTTCTAGGAAGAGGGCACTGGGCCTGAGCCTTGGTAGGCAGGACGGCTGCTTACTGGGAGATCAGCCAGACATGTCTTTGACGGTTGGGAGCCCCTTCAGTCATGGCTGCCCTCTGCTCTGAGAGCGGACGCCAGGCCCGGTGGCATGCCTCTTGTCCCTGTGTTTTCACACTCTATTGAGAAAGGCCTTGCCAGAGGCCACCCTCACAGAGGGCTGGGCCCTGACCACACCCATGTCAGGATAGGCCTGCTAGGCCAGATGGGGCAGAGGGACCTCTGACCACTGTTCATGTGACCATGACGCCTGCGTCCTAGCCAATCCAGAAGGCTGCATTGAGAGAGCAGGGGGATTAGGACAGTCACTTTACCCATTCCTCACTTCCACCCCTGTCCCATGGCCTCCACTTCTGAGCTCCCACACGTGGCTGCAGGCTGGCCTGTGGCAAGTCTCTGGGTAACTACCCAGCCTCCCTCCAGAGCCAGGGATCGGGCTTTGTTTGCCCTGGGGCTTTAAGGCTGCTTCCTCAGGAACCTCCTGCTGCATTCATCAGCTGGCTGAGCTGACAAACCCAGCTCCGGTCCTGCAGAGTGGGCAACACAACCTTGGCGTCTCGGGTCCTGTCGGCCCGTGCTGGCATCCAAACCCTCCAGGATCCCTGCTAGTGTCCGGAAGGACCACAGTGAGGTTTGTTTCCACTGTTCTGGCCCCAATCCAGGTAGCACCCACACCTGAGGCGTGGCAGGGTGGAGGCGAGGCCCAGAGCTCACTGTGGGTCAAGGTGCTCAGGTAGGCTGAGAGGCCCATGGGTGTCTCTCTCTGTACCCTTATTATCTTTCCGGGTTCCAGAGCACCTGGTGATGAGTCCAGACTTGCAGCCTTCCTCTGGGGAGCAGTGCGGCCACCCCTGCCCTCTGCCTTTGCCCCCTCCTGCTGAAACTCCCAGTGAACTGCCTGGAGTCTGGAACGCATATGCAGTGCCCCTGATCTGAGACGTGGCCACCTTTCTTGGGTGGGCACGACCTCTAGAAAGGGAGGCGGGCCCAGAAAACTCGACATGACCAAGGCTTTCCTCGGTTTCCCCCGGTTATCTGAATCTCTGTTGATGGTTCTACAGGGGGTCTGCGCACTCGGTGGGGCACTCGCATGGTTGACCTCAGGTGGCTACAGGCCCTCTTACCAGGGCGGTGAAGACCTGAGACTCGGGGCCAGCCAGCTCTGCTGCCCTGGTATCTGATGAAGCACAGGCTTGCTCCCATCCATGAATCTTGTGTCCAGTGACCCCAGACCGCATGGTAGACCACCCTGGCCACATGTGAACACTGCTCCTTGCTCTGTCTGGCAGCTGTGCCTCCTCTCCGCTCCTGTGCCCACCTCGCTCTCCACACCTTCAGTTTTTGGAGAATCTGTCAGGGCCTGTCCGTGTTTGACTGTGCCCCAGAGCCAGATGCCAGACTTGGGTGTAGACCCAGGTGCCCCTTCACTTAGAGATGGGCAAAGCTTTGCCCTTGAGCCCGAGACCCTTTTTGGTGAGTAGGGAGTCTGGACACAGGTGGAGAAGGCTGGAGGGAGGCCATGATGATCTGATTCTGGACAGCAAGTATCTCCCAACCCTGATGGTGTGGGGCCCCGGCTGGACACCATTCTATTCCTGAGCTGGCCCCACTTGCACACACACTCACACCCACACAGCTCACCTCCGTGGTGGCTCTGGGCGGCTGGCAGAGCCCACTGGACAGGTGCGTGGCTTTGGTTTCTCAGTGCACACTCTGTAGTTTCTGGGGTGGAGGAGGTCCACCTCAGTGTGGTCTCCAGCCCTCTGCTGTCCTCCTCAGCATCTGGGGCGGCCCAGGCCCCTTGGGCACTATCACTGCTGCCCAAGCATGGCTTCACAGAGGCCCAGAAACTCCTCCCAGTCCTGCCTGGCCTGCCCTGCCTGCCCGGCAGCCTTGTTGGGACACACCCTTCAGCAGGCCACACCCTCTGTCATCCTGGATTCTGGGATGGGCTTCTTTCCCAGTCCTGGTCAGTGGCGCCCACAGATCTAGTCTGTAGAGCTGATGATGCTCAGACAGGTTTGTGACCATGAACCAAGTGGGAGCCGGTCTCCAGATCTAACCTGGGCTCACAGGTAGGTCGTGATGCCAGTGCCGTGTGTGGCCTGTGGGGCAGGGATGACTAGGTTTTCCCTCTACCACACGGCTCACTCTCCTTTCATCTCTGAAGCATCCGAAGGAGGCAGGGGACACAGGTCATCTATGACCTCTGACAAGGTCACTGAGACCTGTGACAGGATGCTGGCGACAGGAGACACGGGCTGAGTAAGTGTCTACCATGGCTGTCTGGGGTGGGTCAGAGTGCTATCAGAATCTTATGTTTTGGAACTAGCCTGATGACCTGAGTTTGGTCCATGGGAACCACAAGGTACAAGGAGAGGAATTACTTCCTACCTGTATCCATGCATATGCAACGGGATGTGCATGCCCCCACACACAAATGTTTAAAAAATAGTAATAAAAAACCTGGTGTGCCCCACATCTTTGGTACAGCCTTGGGGAGTTGCAGCTGGGCCCTACTTCTGAGGTATGCCAGTGCTTCTTGTGCTCTGGGTGGTCCGGCTAGGTCTTTCTCTTGAGGATCCCCCTCCTCCCCAGCTCCTTGCTCCTTCTGACCACCCTTTATCTCCATGCCTCCATCTGTGTTCCCCTCCAGGCCCACCGTGATGGAAGCAGTTTGCCCTCACCCTCCAGGCCACTGTGTCTGCGTGGTGGGCTCAGGACCACATGCAGCCTTAGGCACAGTGCCCACTTTGCAGTGGGCTCTGAGGCCTGGGGCATAGCTCTCTTTAACCTGACTTGAGATTGTTTCTAAAGATTTCTCTCCCTTGAGCAGGGCCCTAGAATTTTCCATTTTGTGGTCCTATAGTGACTGTTTGCAGAGTCTCACTTGCAGCTGAGCACTCTTGACCCTACAGACAAGCCCCGACATGATGGCAAACTGTGAGCTGTGGTGGTAATGCCCATGCAGTGACCTGTGAGGACCTGGGCCCCTGCCCCAGCTGCCCACTCAGGGCTTGCCTTTCATTTTTGTTTTTTCCTTGAGTATGTGTTGTCGTTTGCCTGGCTTTTACATGGGTTCTGGAGATCCAAACTCCAGTCTTCCTGCTTGGTCATCCCAGCTCTGGGACTCTTGACTTCCCAGCCCTCAGTCTTAAGCTAGGCCAGGTCACCGTCCTGCCCTGTGTGCTGCTCATTTGGCTATGGGCGGGGGGGAGGGGGCAGGGGGGGCCTTGGTGGAGCTCTGGAAAGGCACCTGTGGGGATCACCAAGGACAGCTATCCTCTCCTGACCTCCACAGTGCCAAATCACTGGCCGAGCGAGGGCACGTTGTCCTAGCCACCAGGGTGGCCGCTTGCTCTCAGCAGAAAACTGCTAAAAGACCTCATGGTGGCAGTGAAGGCTGTGGGGAGGCAGCCTGCCCCGTGGCGTGCGACAGGTAGACAGTGACCTAATTTCATGCTTTGCGTGTGCTAGGAGTTGCTTGTAGATCTACCCCGGGCATGCACCACGTGCTTTGCCCCCTCTAGCCACAGAACGGCTTTCCACCCAGAAATTGCTGGCATGGTGGCTCTCTTCAGGGCAACGCAGGCCTCTCCTGAGTTATGGTGGCATCAGGAAGCCCTGGCCAGGTGCCTCCTCTGGTAGAGCCTTGTCTGATTTACACAGCAGATCTGGGCAAGGGATGCTGGCTTAGGCAATTAAGGCATCTGCTATTGGTCTGTGTTTTATGGCTACCCGACAGCTCAGAGCAGCTGTAAATACTGCCCAGCGTGCAGAGGGTTCAATTACAGGTCAGTTTCAGTGGCTCTTCCCAGGCAGCCACTCACCCTGCAAACAGCTGAGTGAAACTGCCTTATCGTTCCCAGCTGTCACTTTTGTGAAGTCCACTCTGACCCTCCTAAGGATCAAGTGTCTCCACCACTTGCTTTTTGCGGGTGGATGGAGGAAAGAAAACTGCTTGACACTGGGCAGTGGTGGCCGAGCACACCTTTAATCCCAGGTCAGGAGGCAGAGGCAGGTGGATCTTTGTGAGTTCCAGGCCAGCCAGCGTTTACACAGAGAAACCTTGTCTCAAACCCGCCTGCCCCCCCCACTCCCACAATCCATATAAAACAAACAAACAAACAAAACAATCCTTAAGTATTTGCTGGGTGTGGTAGCCCACACATGCAATCCCAGCACTTGGGGAGGCAAAGGCAGGCAGATCTCTGTGAGTTTGAGGCTAGCCTGATCTACAAGGTGAGTCCAGTCCTGATCTATCTACAAGGCTACACAATGAGAAACCCTGTCTTGGAAAACCAAAAAGAGAAAAGAAAGGAAACTGCTTGACCCAGAACCAGAGCTGAGTGGCAAATCCTACCTCCCTGTGCCTTACTGACTGATGGGAGTTGGCACCTATGAATGAGCTTCACAGGGGCTGGTGGCTGGGAGCAACTGGGCAGGTGCCCAGGTGTTCCATCTGGGCTCAAATCTCAGCTCTTCCACCTGGGAGCAGCTGCTGCGTGGCCTCTGTGGGGCACAGGTGTCAGGAACAGGTTGTTGAAGGGAGGTAATAGGTCACCAGATGAGCCATGTTGCCTGCTGAGGGACCAAACGAGAAAACCAAAGTCACAAACCCGAGCTTGGACCTGGCCTTGAGCTCCACCCAGAGCTCTATCTGCTAAGACGGGAAAGCCAGGGCTTGCAAGTTGGGCGTCCGCTGATATGGAACAGAGACTTTTGTACAGCGCCACCCCACAGGGCTCCCCCGAGCACGCCCTGCCCTGGCTGGATCTGCCAGCTGTATACCCCACATTGGTCCTTCGTCTTTGTGGCCCGAGAGATACACAATGGCTACGCTCTCCAGAGGCTGGTGCCAACTGCTAGACCCAACACCAGCCTACTCAGGGGACTGAGAGAAGCCAGGGTCTGGGAAAGGATGGACAAAGCACACAGCTGTGTGGGAGAACTGCCTGCTGGGAATGGGGTGGGGGACATGAGCAGACAGGGCGGTGGGACAGAGCTGCACCAGGAACAGGGCTCTCAGAGGCTCTGGGACACCACTGCTCTGGGCAGTGACACTTCTTCCAGACGGTGGGCAGAACACCCACTTCCACCACAGTTGAGCTGGCTTCAGCCTGCAGCCCTCCCCGTCTGTTCCCAAGGCTAGGGGAACAGGGCCCAGTACCCAGCAGGCAACGGGTCTGCACAAGGATCAAGACTTGAGACTAGCCAGTCCTGACCCACGTAAATGAAAGTGGTCAGTGAAGTTCACTGCTAGGTCACTGGATTTAGGGGACACTCTTGAACCTTGTACTCAGAGACCAAGTCAGCAATTCTGACCTCATTTCCTGAGCTCCTGGGAAGTCACTGGTCCACACTCCATCCTGGGATTCTACGTGGCTTCTCTGCGGCATCTTCTCCACTGGTGACCATCAGAATGTCCCAGCAGAAAGTCCCACTCAGACCCCCATCTCCACGACAGGAGACTGACTCCTGGGGTCTCGAGATGCCGCTCTTCAGAGGAATGGGCAGACAGGCCAATTCTGGCCACAAATGCCAGCCTAGTGTCAGAACCCCCTCCGCTCTGAGCTCAGGATTGCCCTTTGGTTTCTCGCCACCCCTCCAGCCCATCCTTAGGGACCCTCTGCATGGTCACCCTTGCTCTGCGCATGTCTGTCCCTCACTATACTCTGTAACTTGAGGCTCTTGCCCACAGCTGCAGCATGGCAGCGACAGCTACCAGTGATGGCTGTTCACATCTACCGCGCACCCCGGCAAACACGTGCTGTGCTGTTGCAGAACAGGAGGTTTTCCTGTCCCCTCAGACGCCCTGACCGTGACCCTATAACATACCACCATAATGTCTCGGGATTACTGAGAAGGCCAGGCAAGTATTTAGATTTATTTTCAATACAAAAAGTCTTCCCGAAAGTGCTGCCACACACCGGGAGTGCCAACCCTAAGAACTGGCCGCTGATTTCCATGAAGGGGATGCTCCTGGCCCTGCTACAGCCCAGAACTGTGCCCAGTGCCCCAGGCACAACACAGCAGCCACACTGGGAGACTCCCCTGAGCTTGAGTGTCCATTCCAGCTTCCAGGCTGAAAGCCAGAGAGTGAGCCTCCGCCTGGCTGCCCTGGCACTGGAGAGATGGGCTCAAAGACCCTGCCAAGCGCCTACTAGGTCCAGGTGTATTGCACTGCCGGCTGAAGGTCACCACACCTGGCACACCCGGATCACCTCCTTCAAGGCGTTCAGCCCTTCCACGCTCTTGTCCTTCACAGCCATGGCCAGGAGGACAGCTTTGTTCCCTGCTTCTTGGGACACGAATGTTACCAGGTTCTTCGCAAAGACATGGATGAGAGGCTGAGAAGGGAGGGAGAACAGAGCCATAATTACACGAAACCTCACCTGTTGTTTTTTTGTTTGTCTTTAAAGTTAGGTTGTCATTTTCTGTAGTATCTTGGAGTCGCATAGCCCAGGTTAGCCTTGAACTTGTGGCAATCCTCCTGAGTGCTGGGATTCCAGGAAAGTGCTATCATACATGACCAGCAAGCATTCTGATTCTGCCTGTACCCACCATACCTAGTTTTTATTTTCTTTTTGGGGGGGTTGGTTAGTAGGGTCTCTCTATGTAGCCCTGGCTAGAACTTGGTATGGAGATGAAGCTGGCCAAAAAAAAAAAAAAAAAAAAAAAAAAAATCAGCTTGCCTCCCTAGCACTGAGATTAAAGGCACTTGCCACCAAGCCAAGCTCCACACCCAGCTTTTTTATGTGAGTTCTGAGGCCCAGACTCAGGGCATGCGCCACTGCTTAGATCTATTAATTTATTTATTCACTTATTCATTTTTGTTGAGGCAAGAGCTCACTATGTAGCCCTAGCTGATATGGAACCTGCTATGTAGACCAGGCCTACCTTCATCTTCCAAGTGCCAAGATCAAAGGTGTGTGCTGATACATATGGCTACTTAGTCTCCAGTACATTGTGTGTATGAGAGAGAGTACAGCGTGGGCAGTCAGTTCTCTCTGCCCACTGCGGGGTACATGGGACTAAACTTGGATCATCAGGCTTGCACGCCAAGTGCCTAGGACTTGCACTAGGACTACACCAACGTGTCACCAAAACCCAGTGGTTTTTTTGTTTTGTTTTTAATGTGGGGAGAGCAGGATCTATCCCTAGCTGGCCTCAAACTTACTATACAGCTCAGTCTGATCACATACATGAAACAATCCTTCTGCTGAAGCCTCCCAAGTGAGAGAGAGGCATGCACAGCCTCACCTGTATTTTCCTGATGCTTTCCTCAAGCACTTTTCAGGGACCCAGACCAGCTTCCCACATTTCCCCTAAATCACCTCCAGGGAAGCTAAGATAGCAGTGATTCGGAGTGCTGAGCAGACTGCACATAGCAGACACAACAGGCTGCCGATGAGGCACCATTAAGATATTTCGCTGGTGCCTCTCTGGTTACCCCTAATCCAGACAGACATGCCTGCGAACGGGAATGCTGTCAAGACTCAAGAAGCAGACATAAACATAACGCCTCCGTTAACATACAGCCATCACGATGGGGTCAAACTGAGGCAACGGCTGTGTCATAAAAAGCAATACTCTGCTGAGTGCTGAGTAAAATGCTGACACGCTCAGAAAAGTCACTAGAGCAGCCAGGGCACCCTCAGATCCGAAAGATCCTGGAAAATGCTGACTGTGCCCATGTGCCCATGTGCATGACACTCCATATCCTTATGGACACATGAAAACAGGGAAGATTCTTCCCCCAACCCCTTTACCTCGTCCTGCCCGAGGAGGACTTTTGTGGTGAGCACTGGCTTACTGATGTCATTGGCCACATTGCTGGGCTCCAAGGAGACTACCGTTCCCATCTTCCCGAACTGGGTCACCACAACCAGGATGTGGCTGCTGAAGGCTGTGCAGACCACCTCGGTGGGCACACCACATATCACTTCTGTCTTCTGTTTAGATACTACCAATGGGTTGTCTTCCATGGTCCCGTTCTTCAGTGGAGGCTTTAGTTTCAAAAGAAAAGAAAAAAGGGATGGAGCAATCAGAGTCTGATACAACCTGGAGCTCCAAAGAAGAGATGTCAAGCAGGCCATTCCAAGCTGCAAGTGGTGGCACATGCCAGCCGTCCCAGCACAAGGGAGGCCGAGGCTGGAGGATCCCGAGTTCAATGCCGGCCTGAACTACAAGGGGGAGCCCCTATTATCAATACCACGCCCCAACTCAAAAGCAAGCGTTGCGCATGCTCATGCCTGCTTTTGTTAGTCTCTGTCCCACCGCCCTGCCTGCGATTAGAGCCATGCCTCCAACTAGCTGTCTCCCACGTTTAGATAGCAGGGATGAGGGACACCAAGCTCACCGGGGCTCCGACCGCACAGGACTGGGGATAGTTGGATCACTGCTGAGTGTAGTCGAGCCCAAATCCCGCAGCAACCAGCGCTCACAGCACCAGCAGCGCCAGAAAGGGATATCACTGAGCAACTCAGCCAGCATTCGTTTAGCAGAAGCACCGGCAAGAACTTCCGGTTTCGGTCCGTTGGTGATAAGGTCCGTGCGTCGCTGCAGTCCCTGTACCTTAGGTTCCGCCCTGCAAAGGAGACCTTCAGGCTTCCTGTTAAAGGGACACTGTGTCCCTAGGAGCTTCAGGACCTCGTGGGCGATGCTTGAACCCTAGCGTAGGGGGCCTTGTGTCTCAGCTGTGGACTGGGATGGCAAGAATAGTGAATATTTATTTTCACTTGGTGTGTATCTGGCTTTGGCTAAGGCACACTTAATATATAGTAACTTGATTTTGTCTGTCTTTTTTGCCTCTTTGAGTCAGGGTATCTCTGTGTAGTCCTGGTTGTCCTGCAACTCACTATGTAGACCAGGCTGGTTTGAACTCACAGGGATCTGCCTTCTTCTGCCTCCCAAGCTCTGAGACTCTTCTCCTCCCTCCCCTCCCCCCCCCCCCCCCTCCCTCCCCTCCCTCCTTTCCCCCCCCTCCCCTCCCCACACATGGTGGGTGTGATGCACCACCACACATGGTTAATGTGCAGGGATCAATTCCAGAAGCTTGTTCAATCTAAGCCAGCGTTCACCAACTGAGCATCCCAAACCCCATTTAATCTTTCTTCTCCTTCCCTCCTTTCACTTTCTTCCTTTCTTGTATTGAGGAACGAGTCTACTCATTTACATTAGGTACTGCTCATCTTGCAGAAGACTTAAAAAAAATTAGGCAGTATTTGTTTGTTTGTTTTTATTTGTAGGAGTATTTTTGCCTGCCTGAATAAATGTGTACCATATGCATGCAGTTCCCACAGAGGCCAGAAGAGGGCATTGGGTTCTCTAGAACTGGAGCTACAGACAGTTGTGAGCTGCCACGTAGGTGATGGGAACTGAACTTGGTCCTCTACAAAAGCAGCAGGTGCTCTTAGTGCTGAGACATTAAATTAAAACATTTTTTTTCTTAAAAGTATAGATTGCAAATTAAGCATATTCTCCCATTCCTCCACCTGGCCTTTTCTCCCCTCCTTTACCTTAGTCTTCTTTGCTTTCCTAAACAAATTCATTTCTTTCAGTTAACACACACACACACACACACACACACACACACACACACACACACGAGGTTTAGTGTGACTATGAAAAAACTACATACAGTATCTGTCTTTCTGAGACTCGCTTAATTTGCTTAACACGATTATCTCCAGCTTCATCTAGTTTCAAAAATGACATGATCTCATTCTTTTGTGTGTAGGTTCCTGAGGGGGGGGGGCACAAATGTGTGGAGGACAAAGGTCAGTTTGGGTACTGTTCCTTGGGAGCTGTATACCCATCTTTTTTCTCTTTCTTTTGATCCTTTCTTTCAGTCTCTTCTCTTTTCCTTTCTTCCTTTCTCTTTCTTTTCTTTCTCTCTCTCTTTCTTTCTTTCTTTCTTTCCCCTTCCTCCCTCCCTCCATCCCTCCATCCTTTTCTCCTTCCTTCCTTCCTTCCTTCCTTCCTTCCTTCCTTCCTTCCTTCCTTTCTTTTTGAGGCAGAATCTCATGATGTATCCTTGGCTGGCCTGGAACTCATCATGTAGACTAGGCTGGTCTCGAACTCAGAGATTCACTTGCCTCTGCTTCAATTAAAGGTTGTGTGCTGCCACCGTTCCCGGCTACACCTTGTTTCTTGAGGCAGGATCAACCAGCTCACTAGTTAGCACAGGCTGGCTACCTGCAAGCCTAGCGATCTGCCTGTGTCCACCTCCCCAGTGCTGGGATTGCAGGCTGTACCAGACCTCCCGGCTTTTAAATATGGCCTCTGGGGATGGTATATTGTGCTTGCAAGGCAAGAACTTCACTACTGAGCCATCCTCCCAGCCCCATCTTGTCTTTATGGCTGAATCCCCACTGTGTATATATTTCGCATTTTTCTCACCCATTCCTTTGTTGTTGTGTGCCTAGATCACTTATTCTTTGCTGCCCTCTTAGACAGAAAATCCCTGAGCACCCTTTGAAAATAGAAAGCTCAAATGAATGGGACTGACCCCACTGTCACCTTCCCTGATGTTCCCTGACCCTTGCTGAGACCCAGAGCATGCTGGGGCCTGGCTAGTTGACCCTCACTAGGTCCCAGCTGATGCCTGGAACCCCTGACCCTCATTGACGCTCAGGGGAAAGGAGGAGGAAGCCCTGTCCTGTGGCTCCATTTCCCTGCCGGGGATTTCACTGGCTGGGACATTCTTGGGCAGGTACTGGGAGGAAGTGCAGCTGTGAGCCCCTTCCCCAAATGTTGATAGCCATGAAAAGCCCACCACAGAAGCTGTTCTGTTCATTCTGCTGACAGCTCTGAAAACCCCACGCTTCTGCTTACACGCTGAAGTCCTGAGACAGCTCAGGCACTTTTCTCAATAAATTTACTCCCCCTTCCTTGAGTTAATGACTCCTTACCCAAGCTCCATCGAGTCGTATGAAACTTGCTTCTTCCAAAAATGATTTCTTGGTGGTGTAAAAGAAAAGGCATGCATACAAAGCATGATGGGAATAGATACAGATTGAGAGGAAAACTCGCTTCTGAGCATTCTTGCAGTTGGCACATGAAGGGGGAAGATTAGGGTTTCATGGCACTAATACTCAAGAAGCACGGAGCGTATAGATTCCTCAGCAAAGTCTTTTTGTCGGTTCTATATTTAAACACCCATCCGCCCACACACCGCGAAATCAAATTGCTGGCGTGTTGCTTTGCCTGGAGAAATCTTCAAAAGCTTTTGATCTACCTTGTTCTGTGTTCTTTCTCTGAGGCAGAGGTCCAGGAACTCGGCCTCCCCAGCACACGGAAGCCCTGGAAACATTCAGATCACCTTTGCAAAAGGGAGCCTGGAGAACAAGGTGGACTGCATTCTCGCTACCGAGTTAAGCAGCCATGTGAGGGGTTGATTTGGGGCTGTTTTTGGATCTTGATCTATTGATAATGAAGGAAAACAAGGAGAACAGAGGTTAAAAATCAAAAAGATTGTGTCAGGCTGAGGTGCTGTTGTTTCAGGAAGGGGACTTCCCTATGGCTTAAATGGATGAGTGGGCAGGATTCACATGCTCAGGGCTTAACGAGAAATGCATTTTCTGTGCAAGTGTGAAGACCTGAGTTCAAATCCCTAGAACCCATGTAAAAGTCCAGTGAGGTAATGTGTGTTTGCAATCCCAGTGCCTTTAGGGAGAGATGGGAGATGCAGACAGGAAGCGTGAGGGCCAGCTGGTGTGATATATGCGGCAGCAAACAAGAGTGCCTGCCTCTAATAAGGTGGATGGCGAGGATCAAAGCCTCAGGTGTCCTCAGGGGTTCAGTGTGTGCCATAGCATGAGAACTCCCCGTGGACACATCACACACAGAGATAATGAAGAGAAATGAAGGGCTCTCAATACTGGTTTGGCTGATCTCCTGTGTGTGCTTGAGGGATGGTTGTGCTGGAAAGGAAGACCCCTTTCCACTTTTAATTTCAAGACAGGATCTCACTATGTAGCTATGGTTGTCCTGGAGTTTACTATGTAGACCAGGGTAACCTTGAACTCACAGAGACCTGCCTTGGGAAGCTAAGACACAAGAAGCATGAATTCTAGGTAGCCCGGGTGAGATTCTGTGCAACGGTTATTCTTGGTTGTTCATGTGAGTGGATCTGGAATCAGCCAACGAGTGAGCAATTTCATACACTTGTGAGGGATTTTCTCGAGCCATTTAATTGAAGTGGAAAGTCCCATCTTACCTGTGGGTGGCACCTGCCTGAGGAGCTGGGGTTACAAACCTGGGACACCAGGCCCAGCTGCAGGACTCATTCTTTTTCCTTCATGAACAAATCAGTGTTGTAAAGCGGGATGATATGGTGTGGCTCTTTTAAATGCCCCAACTGTGTTCCTGGGTTGGTGCAGAGGGTCATGGGACAGCAATGGAGGCTCCACAAAGTGCCTTGTGGTTACGAAACTTTCAGGAAGGTCACTGAATAGAACCCTAAGGGTTGTGGGAAGAAGGACCCACAGACAGGGATTTCTGTATTTTGCATGCTTGGAAGGCTTTCCCACATTTGAATGAGCACAGCTTTGCAGAGTCGGGAAGGCTTTCCCGAATCCAAGCACTACAAGTCAGAGTAGAGCCAAGCACAAGGCAGCTGCTGCTGCGTCCTGCCCATGCAAAACAAACGCCATGCCGAGGACAAGCCAACGATGCCAAGCGTGACAAGGGCGCAGAGCACTCCTGTTGTTGGCAGGCATGGGAAGAAGTACGGACGCTCTGGAAAGCAGTTGGCTACCCAGGCTTGTTTTGTTTCCAGTGCTGGGAATAGAACTCAGAGCCTCACAATGCTCTACCCACTCACTCCATCTCCAGCCTTCTAGAATAATCTTGGGCCTCCAGGCATGCCTGTGCAGGATTATCTTGGACGTGTTAACTGAGGTGGGGAGGCTTTTCCACCGTGGGCGGCACCATTCCCTGGCTGCCATCCTCAGCTGAGTAGGTGGAGGAAGGGAACTGAGCAGCAGTGTGCACTCATGGCTTTCTTCTTCCTGTCTGTGGATACAGTATGACCAGCTGCTGCAGAGCCTCAGCTTCCCAGAATAAACCCTTCTCCCTTAAGTTGCTTCTGTCAGAGCATTTTCCCCGCAGCAACAAAATAGTAACAAAGATGCCAAAGAACTTGCCTTGTGACACAAGTGACCTGATTTAGCTCTAGAAATCACATGGAAAAGCCAGGCAGGGAGGGCAAGCAGAGGCAGGAAGGTCAGTGGGATTTACTGCCAGCCAGCCTAACTGAACTGGTGAGTACCAGGCCATGGAGAAACTCTGTCTCAAAAAACGCGGTGAATAACACCCAAAGAATGACGCCTGGGATTGACCTCTGACCCCCACGTGCGCACACATGCGCACACATGCACCTGAGCACAGAAGAACATAGACTCTCAAAGAAGAGGTTGCCCACCCTGTTCACAGCCTCATCATTCACAGCAGCACAGACTGAGCACAGACGTTCACAGCATACAGCCGAGCAGAGCCACCCAGAGTGTGAGCCGCCACTGG